TTCAGCTTTCTCTTCTAGCATTTCGTAGATATTACTGCGTTCCCCACAACAAAACTGCCCAGTGAAAACTAATTCTTGAACAGACATTTTTGACGATTTAAAACGTTTAGGAGCGTAAAGTGAAGGCTGACCTCGAGCGAGCTGTTCCAGGATCTTCTCAGTGAGCGAGGATTTCGGTCTGAGTTCTTCCTCCACTGACCGTTCGCCTGAGCAAAGACCGGTGTGATCATCTACAGAATCTCTGTTCGATGCCCTGCTTGTTTCACTGCTTCTTCCTTAAATTCGAAAATGCATTCAATAGCGAAAGGATGTGAGTGCCCTAATGCGAGGGCCTGACAAGACTATACTCAGCATGAGGCTGCAATCCACTAACATCGAGACCTCCAAACTGATCATCTGGGCAATATTAGCGATCTTAAATAGGCGAAAATATTTGACGCCAGCAACTGTCGCCACTAAAGTCAGTAAATTTATAACTCATCATTTTCAGAAACAGTACAAGGGATATTTCCCTTTGCAGGAGCACGCATAGAAACACACATCTGTTGGCTGCAGTCCAATAAAATTGGTTGCCACAAATTCGATCACATTTATGAAACACTTACTGCCATGAGTCTCAGCCGACGATTCCGGAATGCTGTCAAGCTCAGTGAAAGATGGTCTCTGAACTGTCGAATGTGCTAAACTTGTTCTCCTTGACTGAAAAAAAAAAGTTGTTATGTGTAGGATCGTGGGCTTTTTTAAAAATTAAATTTGCTTTAAGTAAAATTTTCCAAAATAACAAGTTATCAGAAAAAAATGAATACTCTGGATGATTTTTTCCGGACCGGAACTCCTTCCTCTCCAACAGCTTCAATTCGTTTGGCGCCAAGATAAAGTATGAGAAGCAAAACTGACAGTACCACAGGAACGAAGATTGCCGAGATTTCTTCCAAAAATACCACTCTCTTCGTATCGCGCTAAAATAAAAATAGATAGCAACGCGCACCAGACTAGTCGATGCGATTATGCGTTTTGTACAATTCGTCCATCGAACGACTGCCTGTTAATGATTTTC